GGGGGGGGGGGGGGGGGGGGGGGGGGGGGGGGGGGGGGGGGGGGGGGGGGGGGGGGGGGGGGGGGGGGGGATTCCAATAATCGCAAGGCCTATTGAATGCCGGCTGATGGTAGAAAGGGGATTGTACATTGTACTTGCAATGTCTCCCAAATGAAAAAGATCAGAAGTGGGGTCAAGACTCATACCATGGTCCTCCAGGGCTGGCATTTGAGACTAACAACACTAACACTAAATTCCATAAAATAACAACATTAAGGCAACACCCTGAAAGTATATGAAGACCTTTTCAAAGTCTTTGTATTGAATAATGTAATGAACCATGCACAAAACTACAAAACTTTCTTAGGTCAAGCATGGTAAACAGAAGCTTTGAGCCAGTCTGGCAGCTCAATGAGCTCTTTTCAATTTATATGTTTTTGCATCAGTTAAAATTTAGCAACAAGCAAAGGAGTATTGTATATACAGTAATTCAAACACTTCCACTGAGCAGGTGGCCACTCGTTATACTTACTACATCTTCCACACGCCTACTGGCCAGCAAGTCACAAAGTTCCTTTAAAACCCTCACACGGTTTGACAAAGGACTTTCCTTCCCTATTTCCTATAATAAAGAAAACAACCATTTAGATTATTTACAATGAGCATTAGAATCTAAATTTTATGACAAACATCCAAAAACATATTATCAACATTAAATGACTGGGTCATCAAATCTAACTGGCTTAATCTTGGCCCAATTTTGGTTGATTGGAGGCACTTGCTGATATTAATCAAGTTCCTATTGTTCAATCAGCAGTTGGTTTTAAAACTGTTTTAGGAGATGACAAGAGGCACTTTGGGTGCAAGGGTTGAACCAAGCCCTTCATTTCAAAAGCATGTTGCATACTGGCATATATAAGATCACAGTTTACAGTCTTGCCATACTATCATCAAGGCCGCAATGCTTGGTGTAAGCTGGCATGCATGTAGAGAACCTACTTTGGTGTCTTACTCAAAAATCTGTGATCATGACATATTGTCTTTCTGAGATGAAAGTTTAGGTTTCCTCAATAGATCATCAGTAAATTGTTGTACAGTACAAGCTCAAATTTGAATGAAATAAAAGAAGATGAGTAAACATCTGGCGACTATAATATTTTGAAGATCTTGCCATACAAGTGATGTGGGATGTAATTATATGGGATATTGGCCATGACTGTTTGTCAAGACAGCTGGAAATTCGACATTCAAGTTCTTTTCTTTGTATGAGTCTTTAGACAAAGATATCATGATCAGTCTATGGCCATAAACATGTAAAAAGAGAATGAGGCTAAAATCCAGCCAGAGAGAACAAGCTTGATCAGTAAAGGATTAATTTAATTTTAATTAATGAAGTTCTACTTACTCAGAATGAGGTCTCTTCGGCAAAATCTCAAACTGAGACCTTGCCGTATCGACCAAGCAATAGCAAGATTAATGCTGCAAGGCCGAGGTTTGAGATTTTCTCGTAAAAACTGAACACTCAAGGTTAATAAGTTGCTTATTAGATGGCTTTTTGCTTTGTTTTTGCAGACCTGCAATTGGCCTGTGGGCATTACGGGAGAATAATGCCCTGGAATCAGAGCATGCAAGCCAATCAGAGTGCACATTATATCGGCTACAAACACAGGCCATGTAATAAATACATGGAGCAAAAGAAACACCATTTTCGTACATGACCAGTGGTTAATTCTAAGCAGGCAGGATACCCAATGCTCAATCAGGCAGCCTGCTCACTTACACTGTAGCGAGCCATAATAAATGGAAGTGATCCCTGTAATTTAGACATCCCTGGAGATTGCAGATTCAGGGTCAAACATGCAACTGTATGTTGCAACCCCAGGAGGGAGACACCATTATGAAAAGGTAAAAACTGATTGTTGGAAAATTTGAATTAAACCCTTAAAGGAGACCAATTTGGGCATGGCTGGAGCTTTATTTGACCCCCAAATAGCGTGTGAACAGGCTTCCAGCAAGGGTGGGAAAAAAATTGGCGAGCCGAGGAGTGCAAAAAAAATTTGCAAGCAGGATGGGGCAGGGGAGCTTGTAAACTTTGCTTTTGATCTGCCAGTCTGCCAAGGTGATTAGCCTGTTACAAATCAGTCAAGAAGGTAATTTATTAGACTTGCCAAAATTTATGTTTTTCATGTCTTTCAATCAGTAGACACGGTAACAAATGCACAGTTCTAGCTAAGAAAATAGTCTCCCAGCTAAGATTTTCATTGAGCCAGTCACCATTTTTCGCAAGAGACCTGGAAAAAAGTTTCCGTTCCCAATCTTTTGCAACACCTTGAATGCGGAGCTACCAAGCTTCGTGGTTACAAGATTGCAAACACAGTACACAGAAAGATAACACACTAAACAAGTGCTCAAAACAATCTTCCACTTCATTATTACTTTACTCATTATAGTGGCACTGATACACAGGATAGGCAGGAATTTATTCCAAACTTTTCATTTCTAAGATGGTACAACAATGGTTCAGGTGTGGAATGATTGCACGTACATAACCTAAAAACTGTTTGCTGTCCTTTACCAAGTGATCGGCCCAGTTAATAAGTGGCCCAGTATTGTAAAATCGCTCCCAATCAGGTGTTTGGCTTACTGTAGTTTGTAATGAGCTGATAATCTAGTGCCCCTTCGCATGAGGCCTCAAAATACAGTATTTAGTGACATCAATGTTCCAGGCTTTCGCCGATCCACGGCATCATCAGTAGTTTAAGGCCTCACTTAAAAGAACACTAGATTACCCATCAAGCTGTCGAATTTTGGGAAAACATTCAACGCTTGCTTAATTAATGAGCTAAGTTGATTCGGCTTAACAGTAAATAGCACAAACTGATTGACGTGTTGAAAGCTTGTGTGTTATAAAATTGCCTTTAGTACACATTGTGCACTTACAGCTTCACGGAAGAACAGAGTGTTAAATGGAACAACGTGAACCTACCTGCAGTAATTCTTGGCGGAAGCTCAACTCATCAGGTTTGGGGCCTTCATACATGCTACTTGTGATTACATGGCCTTTCTTCACGCCGAAGAACTGCTTCACTCTCTGACGAAACCCTTCACTGGCATTGGTCTTTGACATTTTCGTTAGAAGATAAAGCAAGACTTAAATTCGGGGTTCGCCTGTGCTGTGATGGCCGCCATACTGGACGTGACTATCAAAGAAGAGTAGGAGACTGGACACTAAATCAACACTGTCCGGGGAGGAGAGAGGCCACAGAATCAACAACATGGAGGACATCAAAGAGGTCAAGGAAAATGTGAAGGAAGTTTTGACGAAAGTAGAAGAGGCGTTCGGAAACGCAGGCAAGACTTTATTTCCTAATGAAGAACCAAAGAATGACAGGGACCTAATAAGATATGTAGTTAAAGCAATGTGAGTCTATTGGGCAAAATTTTGATCTCTGACATTTGATCTGTGATAAAACCTGTTCTTATTTGAATTGTTGATCGTTCAGGGCTATGGAAGCTTGTTTTAAAGAGCATGTTGCTCTTCAGGAATGCATGAGACGAAGCTGGTTTAGTATATGTCATAGAAAACAAACGGAATACTGGGACTGCTACCGCAAAGAAACTGTGAGTTGAAGCTTATAAGTTTACTTGGCTTTCATGATGTAACCATTTCTCTTATAAGGCATAATAAACTTATATCTTACCGATTTCGGCATCAAGAAACAGAATGGATCAATTTCGGAATTATACATTCTTTCGATACTGTGCAGATCAAACCACTAGCCAGACACCCCCCGTCAATAAATCAGGAAAAAAGTATCGAAAATTGAACTAAAGCTTGTTAAAAACCCCAACTGGTGAGAGGCTTACAAGTTGGCTATTTACAAAGCATGGGAAATTTGGATTTGGGAACAACGACACAAATCCATCAAGCAGGACGGAGATGGATTGGAACCTGGGGCCTCTGGAGGCAGGCTAGTCCATGCCTTTTCCAACACAAATAGACCAGGGGACTTTGTCTTGCCTAGGGGAAAATCATAAAAACTTTTTTAAGAATCTGACCGTCCCCCTGGTCAGTCAGGTTCATAAGACTAGTTTAATACTCATTTTCAAATTGGTCTTTTTATCTCTCTTTGTCGGATCTAAGCTTACAAATCCTGTTTTTATTAATTTCGCAGATCAGACTACGGAAGCATTATGATGTGTATTGGGATAAATAATTTTTAAAAAAAGAAACTTCTGCCAGAAACCTTGCATCAAGTTATGGTTTTCAACTCAATCATTACATTCAAGTTAAAACTAGACAGTCCAACTATTGAAGGTCAACTGGATTTATGTCTAGTCTGCAATTTCACAAAGAAGGATACTCTGACTAGGTTGGTGACCAAAGTAAAAACATGTGGCCTTACGTCAACCTGCAAAGTCCCAACTGCCTTGTCCCTAAAGCCAATTAAACCTCACAACATCAGAAAGGTGCTGCATTTCAAACTCTTCACCTTAACAGTGCAGTGTACCACAGAATTGTCAGTTTTGGGTTAAATTCTGTAACAGAGACCACTGAATAAACAGAGTGACGACTCATCTGTACAGTGTTAGTCTAAATCTGAAGAAAATTGTTCACAAAATACCTGCACTAACGTGAAGCATGAGCTTAAACAGTACACAGCATTGCAGTTAGTGCATGTTCTCACTGGTATTTGCAAATGTTTTGCTTTCAACTCGAAACTGAACTATTGCCACTTGACAAAGTTCCTTATTGATTTTCAACTTGAGTGTTTAATGTCTATTTGACAACTTTTCTGATGGCTTTGTTTTTAATTACCAAAAATGCAAGTGAGGGGGACAGAGTTGCTAATGATACTGCTGGAGAGCAAACATTGAACTTGAGAACTCTGCCTCTCACAGTCCTTGTACTTTGATTGGTCAGTTTAAAATGGAAACCATCAGAAAAACATCAATCAAAAACTTTGACAGGTGTCAGTTGTACAGTGTGCAATGTAAGATTTGAACTCTGTAGAAGAACAAACAAATCACATTTTGAACATTTATTTCTTGTTCTTCACAGAGTTTGACCATAGAATAATAAAACAGAAAACATAGTTTTGTCATTAATCATTTCTTTTTTTAATTTTTTGGTGTAAAAATTGTAGTTAGTGATAACATGGAGCTTAACAAGTCATCAGTGCATTGTTTAACCCTCTCTGGAATTGCATGACAGAACTGATCTGATGGAGAGGGAGTGGAAATATATAATGCAAGATAAGGCGGTCCAGAGCCAGCGAGAACAGTCTTGCCCAAGAAACATGGCCTATCCTCTTGTATTCTATGCCACATGCATACTTAGCAGACAAAACAATACCTGCAGCACAAATGTGTATGCACTGTAGACCTATATTTTCTTGGTCTAAAAAAAACAATTGTTTAGGTCTACATTAGCCTGCGAACGCAGACGTATTTCCTGCCATCGCTTGTCTCCGCCGAAAATAACATCTGCGAAACCAAGCCAGGAAATGATTTCTGTGACGTAATGACTTTTGTTTCTCCTTGGACAATCAGATTCCATGATAGAATGAAACTCGAGTGCTCCTCACAGCGAATACCTCGTGCAGTAGTTCTGGGGCTACTTGAGCTAAACTGTGATTGGCTTAAGATTCCTACATCACAGAAATCGTTTCCTGGCTCAGGTTCGCAGATGTTATTTTCGGCAGAGACAAGTGACAGCCAGAAATACGTCTGCGTTCGCAAGCTAGGTCTACATAAGAGCCGAGTGGCCCGTCAGGTCAGTGATTATCCTCTGTTCCTGTAGCATAAAGCAACTAGGAGTATCTCTACTCCTCCCTAGATGGGATGCTAGTCCATCGCAGGGCTACCCGCTAATATTAAATTTGCTGGTACACCTTCATTCACCTGGGTGGAGAGAGGCACTGAGAGTGAAGTGTCCTGCCCAAGAAGTCAAAACAATGTCCCCAGCCAGGGCTCTCAAATCTGGGTTCTCAGACCTTATCCTAAGTTGAGCACACTAACCATGAGGCCATTGCACTTCCACATTTTTTCTAGGTACTCATTGACAAATAAAAGACAACAATACAACAGACATACAGAATAAAAGACCTCCTTTTATTAAAAGCTGCTCCCTGCAGCTTGTTTTAAATAAGTTCCATGTACAGGTTATTCTGTGCACAGCACAACCACTGGACTATAAATTCAAAATTCATAACTTATGGGTGCAATTAAGGAGCACTCCTCAAATAATCCTAAACTAAAGCACTGCTTTTTTTCTGGTGAAACTAAAACAAACTGTTATCACAACCATTTTGCTCTGAAAGCATATGTCACTGTGACAAAAATATTGCCCTGAGCTTGTAAAATAACAGAAGTAGTCCTCTGTCCAGCCCACAAAGATTTTCTCAATACCAATGTTTGGTGTACCTTGACTGTTACTTAAATTTCAATTAATTGCATACATGAACAGCATGTTTCTGGACACCTATCAAATGTCAGAGAACACAAAAAACAAATTTTTAACATAAAGTATCCAAACCCCCTTAAATGTTGCACCTTTCAACAGCATGTGGACCCAAAAGTTTAAAACTCAATTTAACAATCTTGTTTTTTGCTACCATTCTACTGTTACATTTTGAACTTCTGAGTGCACATGTTATTAAAATGCACAGTGAAATAATAATATTATTAAATACGTCTTGGCCACAGCCTGCTCTACAATCCAAAATATTAAAAAGTTACCTCAAGTGACAAATTCCTGCAACATCTGCTCAAAGTGGCCCAAACTGGAAGTAATTATTTACACTTCTGGCACTATATTACAATCAACAACCACTGGCACTATAATATTATTACATAAATTGCCACTGTAATTGTATAGTTGAATAAAGTTGCAGTACAAAAATACTGATCTTGAAAAATGTCTTCACACAAGAAACTACCTTCAATAAGTTGGCAAAAGTACATTAAGGAAAAAATAAACAACATTATTCTAGGTAATAATATTATTCTAAAATGTCTTCTGTCACAATGGCATAAAAATTAAGTTAGTCTTTAAGTCCAACCAAACAAACCAACTTCAGAAATGTAAATCTGTTTATGAATATGTATGGTATATGTTGTTGATTCAACAGTATTTGTAAGTAATTAGGATACCCATCCATAATCAATTAAACTTTCAGACTTCTCTCTGCTCATGGTCATGCTGCCACAGCTTATGCAATGTGTTGCTGTAAAGTTCCTATTGAAGCAGTTTTCAATTGAGTGTCGTAAGACAAAAACCAAAGTAATCACTCTAGCCAAAATAATATGACCATCGTTTAATTGCCAGTGTTATGAATTTGGCTTCTTTGAATTATGAGCTACAAGGAAAGTGATTCAAGTCTACTGCAAATGATGGTAATAAACTACAACATGCAGGTGTTATAATCTGATAAAATATGTACTGAATGCATCTCCATAAATCGTGAAGTTGCTAAATACAGCACTTCTAAATAAATTTGTTCAGGTACTTAATAGCTAATCATTTATCAATAATAAGTGTATATGACAGATATTTTCTTATCAATTTGCTTTATGGAATGTACACAAGATCATGATATGGAAATCAAAAAGAAAAAAAATGGATATCGTAATGTTTGTTGGGTCAGAAATTGCAGGGGGTTAGGACCTTGGACTATAGTCAGGCTGTGACATCAAAACAAGAAGGTAACTCAACATATTGTTTGAACCAAACAAATAGAGACAAGTGAAATATACTAGGAATAAGGCAATCAAGCATAATATTCAAAATTGTTTCAAAATTATAAACATTTACCAAAGATATCAATGTTCTTGTTTTTCCAAGCAAATGAACCCACAAGGCACACAGAAACGTGGCAGACTGAGAATCATGTGGCGTAAAAACATCCAGAAAGACCTGATGGGGATCAACATGAGTTTGTGCCAGGCTAAAAGAGCGGCTCAAGACCAACAGAAAAGAAGGCAACTCATGTGGATGCCCAGTATGACCCCATGGGACAAAGAGGACAAGATGATGAAATATAAAAATATCTGTCAAATACACTTAAGCCTGAAGAAATTGATAATTATGTAAGTTAGAACTGTAAGTTGCTGGGTGGTTGGAGTGAAGTATGCTGTGTCTGTCCTGAGGAGGAATCATCATCTCCAGTGTTCTTTGCATCTTGCACAAGTTTTTCCATTAAGAATCTCTTGTCCCTACCCTCCTAAAATATCAAACAGAATAATCTTTTAAATCAATTCCATTCACTATCCTTAATAGTAATTATTAAAAACTGGATCAAGTTACATGAACCATTATACCATGGCTCTACGACTATAGTAAGCGAACCCATAATTTTTGGGGGCATCTTTATTTTTATTTTATATTTCTAGTTTTCTATATTTAGGGGGCATTTTTAATAATTAAAACAATTATTCCACTCACGCTCGTTGGAAACGAGATGATTATCGCCAACTCGGCACTGCACTTCTTCTTCTTAGGGCTTGTCACGTGTTCCTAACCCACGAACATCTGCTCAACACACCACTTCCATAAACTGGCTGTTAGCCTTTGTTTTGAAAGAACCAATCCGTTGTTATCTGCATGACACTTCACAGCGTTTGACACCTCTGCTGTTTGCCATGTGCTTATACATTTTTTAGGCTCATTTCTATTGCAAGATATGTTTTTAAATTTCTCAGTATTTGCTTTTGAAGGGCAAAATATGAAATTTTCCATGACATGTTGCTTACTTGCATTCTATACTGTGATGCCGTGCCTGGCTGCAGTTTGATTAAAACTGTTTGCAAGTACAGTATGTTGCTTCTTATCACAGATATCATATTTATCCTTGTCCGGTTTTTCTTCAGAGACACCACAGCTTTACTTCGAGAAAGCTATACATTTCTCTGGAGATGTTCTTACGTTTCTTCCATCAATTTGATTGAGCTCATGTCTCTCGAGCTCGATGTATAGGTTTATTCCTCCTTTGTCCGTTCTGGCACCACATGATTCTAATTTAGCCATTTACGTGCTAATCAGTTGACTGTTTTGCATGTTGTATATCCCACTGTTTGACTTAGTTCAGGTAACACCATGGTTTCAGTCCTCCAAGTGGATCTCATCACTTGTTGGTATTTCTAAAATACTCTGTACATCTATAGTTGCTAGTGCAACTCGTTCACTTCTCGTATTGAAGTGTGGGGTCAAAGTCCAGCTTTCCACGGATAGGAAGAGAGGCTATGATTGGCTAACCGCCAGTGAACAGAAGTGACCAATCCGTTGAGCAGACGTTTTTGGGGAAGGAACATGTGATGAGCCCTAAGGGCATCTGCGTGGGAGGCTATCTATCATCTAGACTGCTAGGAGTCTGTTTTTCTCTTGAAATTCGGCTGGGGCTATGAGGCAAGACACTTTAGCCTAAAGGGGAATGGGACGAGACATGGGCACAGCACGCCTTCTTCCCTACTCAGCCACTGCCATACCATCCTTTTGCATTGGCGATGACTAAAACACTCGTCTAAGTGACCCTTGGAGATTAAACTGGCTGCCAGCAGACTATCTATCATCTCATATTCAATGCGTGTCCGTGGAATATAATTGCTAATATTATTACATATATTACAGTACTTCCTGTTTGGTTTTGTTTTACTTTGCTTTCATTGGTTGTGGTTTGTTTTCACAATAAATTCATGCATTCCATTTGAGTTCACCTGTTTGCCAAGAACTAGCCTTTTAATTTTTTTTTTTTTAAAAAAAAGTGATCTAAAATTGTCCTACCAGCACCAGCTGGTCCTTAAGCATCTCAATCATATGCAAATGAGACTTTGTCATGGATCTGAAGTAGTACAACATCAAGCTGCAAATGAGAACAAACAAGCTGAGTGAGTCATAGCAGACTGGCAAATTATGGTAAACATATGTAGCTCTCTCTAGAACCACTGCCCTGAGGGAAAATTAACTGGTCATCACAGAGGTGGTGGCTGATACAGGAAGGTTTCAATATGACTAGCAGTGCATAGTCACCACAAGAATTCCTGGCAAATGCAGAGAGCTGACTAATGGCAAAGGTTTGACTGCATTATACATGGGATATTGGCTGCATTCAGACCACGACAGAGTCGAGATGTACACACAAACACGCAAAAAAAGAACGAGGCCAATATCCAGCCATCTTGACTGATCAAGCTTGGTCAATAAAGGATTTATTATAAGGCTTTCTGGGAAATTTTTCTTGCAGGACACAGAGGGTAGTCCTGAGTGGGCAAGATAGGGTAATCTTGCCTGTTTGGTAGCAAATCACAGCACAGGATTTGGTTCATCTTGCCCAGTCACGGAGCTGGCCATATAATAACACCCAATTAAATCAGTTACATGAACAAGAGCCTTTTTCTGAAGTAAACTCAAAATTTCACTGTAAGGTGGACTAGATACATGACAGCAAAGGCAGTGCTACACACCACATATCATTTCATGAAGTAACCTCCTTAGATCAGTGCATATTTTACTTACCAGATCACCATCAGAATAGGAAAAATGAATGCTGCAGTACTTATGTAGTTTATGATTTCTTGGATCCATGAAGGCCATGAATCAATCTCATCACTGAGAACACCAAAGATCCTCTTATCTGCATCGCAATTTAAATTGCTGAGCAAAAAATACAAAAGAAACAGTTATTTAGTCATTTAGCTGGGAGAAGGGGGATGGGGTGTACGTTCACGACTTGATACAGGGGCGAAAGGTTTATGTACCTACACTTTAAATTAGAAACAAATACATGGCTACAGAAAGGAAGGCATGATGGCTCTGCTCATGCCAGAAAGTAGCCCTCAACTCCAGAGCTTAGCCTGGTTTCTGCAGCATGAACCAAGCCTGCATTGAATACCTATAACATTGTAACTCTCAGTATTTCGTTGGATTGCCCTAGTTTGGTGGCACTCATTTATACTCAAAAGAGGTGCTGCAATCTACAGAAAGGTAACTGCAAGACAAAGAATAGTGTCTTGCCCAAAGACACAACATAATGACCATGGTCTGAGCTCAAACCTAGACTTCTCTACTCAGAGTTGAATTATTAAAGCACAAACAATCAGGTCAACACACCACATGTACATTGGTCCAGCACACCAAAAAATTCCATGGACATTATTATTCAACTTAGCAGCTGTTGGTTTTACAGGCAGTATTTACTAATAAACGGCATGAACCAACACCATACCTAAATGGTCCTTGGCAAGATGGCCTCACCCTGGAAGGTTTCAAGAACACAGTGATTAATAATATAACACTGACATTCTAAATAGGAATATATCACAATTTTATAAACTTGACTTAGAATGGCATGGTCATCAACATTCTGATTGACCTTGATTGACCCTGACGTAATGACCCTGGCCAGGGCTCACACCCAGACCATTTGATTCAGAGTCCAATCACACTATCCATTAGGCCACCACACTTGCCACATCAAGTTAATAATAATTAAAATTGAAAATAGTGACAACCAAAAGTGTTACACATTACTAAGTACTCTACATGCCTAAAGAAAATCCTTGCATTCACAACCTGGATTGTTACTTTCGGGACAACCAGCCAGTAGCAAACCCAGATAATGTAAAGATGGCACAGAGTTGACCCTATTAAAGCAACAATCTGTAAACAAAGTACCACCCCAAATTTTTGCTATCACCCCAGACAGGCTCTGTAAAACTGAATTTCCTGACAAGACCAGGAATTGAGTACAATCTGCTAGAATGTCCCGGCCATTACTGAAGCTTAATCAAGCCAATAAAATTAATAAATTGTAGTTCACGACTGCATAAAAACTATTACCATGCCTACAGCTCACCTTGTGACACCCCACCCAACTGCAACAAGACACATGAGGAAGGAGATCAAAAGCAACACAGTGAAGAGGTAATTTGAACGAGTTCCCTGGTAAACCTTGTCCGAAGGCTTGTTGTTGTACATCAGGGCAACCTTTACAGAGACAATCAAAGAAAATTTTGTTTTCTTGTGCCCAGTAATACACTCAGTCAAACAGTACAAGTGGTGAAAGGTGTTACGGTGTTAGATAGGGGTGTAATGTTTCATATTCCTTGCGATTCGATTCAATTTCAATTACTGCCTTTCGATTTCGATTATTTCAATTGAATTATGCAAAATATTACTGTTTTTTAATTCTTTCAACATGATACACAATTTAAACAACATACAACCCTAAAGCTTCAGTTTTAGGATACAATGAGCATGTCACACATGGTTTGCCTTATTTGGAAATTCTCAAGGGGTGGTAGAAGGGCAACATTTTTACCATGCAACACAAAATGGCGTACAAACTGCAAACGTCTTTACTCGTCAATCAAAAATGCACATTTTAAAGAGTTCTGGATTCTGATTTCACAATAATTATAATAACTCACTGAGGGCACTCAGGGAAAGGTATGCAAAAAATCGAACTAAAATCATAACGTGGAATCAAAGAATTGTGAATTGAACCGAACAGTCATAATGATTATCACAATTAATCAAGAATTCGATTAATCATTACACCACTACTGTTACATGTACTCATAAACTGATAGAGACATTTTAACTTGGGTGTTGAGAAACTAACCCCAACGGATCACTCCTTCAGCTGCCAATAACAAAGGACCCGCAGACAATCCAGCAAACCACAGAGTTCATACACTTTTTCAGGCAAAAAATTCAAGGACTTTTCAACGACTTTCCAGGATCCTTCTTAGATATTTCCAGGACTGTTTTTTATGACAATTTACCTCAAACCAAGCAAAATGTTTGTGTTGAATGACACCTGCCTGGCATTGTGGCACCCAACTAAACCCCAACACACATACAGAAATGCCAGAGAATGAGAGCTTGAAAACACGTGCAAACCAGACATATGCTGTGCACCCTTAGCTCAACATACATGCGCAAGAGTAACGAGAGAGAGCACTGCGAACGAAAAACAAGTGTTTTCACACATTTCATGAGCATTGAGAACGTTATGTTTTGTTTACCTGAACATTTGATTTCACTAGCTTTTATTCAATTTAAAGCCTCAAAAGCATTAATATTTTTCAACCTCATTCTATAGAAAACTCAAGGACTTTCAAGGACCGAAAACCAATTTCAAGTACTTTCAAGGCCTTGAAATCAAACTCCTGGAATTCAACAGTTTTCAAGATGCATACAAACCCTGAAACCAACCAAGCCTCAAAGCAAATAGTGGTAACTGGAGTGAAGCAAAGGAGAACATATGTGAGTGATTCCAATTGGTTTTCATTTTACTTTTTGATTGGTTTCTAAAGAGAATGGCATATGTTTTTTACAACAATGCTAAGCCTACTTATGAAAAACCAAGGCCAATGCAAGTTACTTTTGACACTCAAGTTAAAACTGCTGTATTGACAAACTCAAACAAACAATCCAAGCTGATGATGTTATGTGTTAACTGGGGATAATTAATTAGTGAGGTGACACTTCCACATTGCATAGACAATGCATCTTTTATTAGCCAGTAAACATCTTTTTGCTACAAGCAATCATTGTATCCCATTGCAGCCTTCAGCCCCTGAGTCCCTACCTGGACAAAGAGGACTAGTTAACTGCAAATTAATCCCTGTTTTAACTGGAACAAATTTATAAAATATGATTCAGTGACACACAGGGAACAATCCAAAATTTGTGTGTCGTATGGATAGCAAGACGAAATCCACCACCCAGGCAATTTCACGTTATCGACATTGGTGAAAAACCAACCACACACCTTTTCGATGTAGAACACCAAAAAAAGCTTAACAACGCCCATTGCTGGCATGAGGGGGCTAAAGAAGGTTCCAATCCTGCAACAAAGAAACATTTTCAAGTTTTTATAATAGTGTGCTGCACATCTAAAAATGTTTGTTCACAAAATAAGAAACTGCATTTCACAATAACATATTAAGTAAATAAACATGCTACATACATGTATGCCCTACGTACACTGTCTACTTATAAATGGCATACAAAGTGGTGAATGGGTACCAGGAACGACACCATACCAGTTTCCACTGTTTCATAAAATCAGTCAGAGTTTTCATTTAATGACTCAGGAACACAGGAAAGGGGTCTTTAGAGAGTTAAAATCCAAAACCTTTCCTGGGGGAGCATGCATGGCCCTGAACCCCTCTAGAAGCTTGGTCTGCCAAACTCCAAATGATTGATTCTTATCCAGATCATGTTTTCATGTGTTCACGCTAAAGATAAAATCAACAGTAGTTGCCACTACAAAACATGGATGTCAAGTACACTACTGTAACTCACCATATCAGGCATTCCCCATACACCAGCTGTAGAACCTGTTTAGGGATGTCAAATTCAGGCAAGCCAAATCTCTTGAAACAGGAAGTGTGTTTGTACAACAGTCTGAAAATTAAACATTACATCAGTGAGATACAGCAAAAAATCTTGTATAGGTCTGATCTGGTGTGCAACGTAGACAATGCAAAAGCATTTTAGTGTTATATCCAATAACTTAAAGTTTGCTGCACTCCCCTTCCAATAATACTACTGAACTGCGATAAATATGAACTATACTTACTTCCAAATAGTAGTACCCACAAGTGACACTACGATGTGCAGAAAAAAGTCAATCCAAATCAGCATGTACATCTGTGAAGCAATCTGGTTTTCCCAATTCTGAAATCAGAAATTAAAAAAATATATTATTCAAAAATTATATTAAAAATATTCAATCTGCATACTAGGAGCATATCAATAGAGATCTAATCGTTACTTGTGCTTATTCTGACACTTTTCTTGAGATCGTGCTGTTCTAACCCTAGAGAAATGAAAAATGTTTGCAATCCAAGATACTTGCCCCACAGGAGGAGAATTTGTGACTCACAAAGGTCACATAACATACATGTACTGCTATGCAGGAAAAATTCAATGAACCATTTTGTGCTTTAAAAATGTAATGTCCTATGATTGAATAATTTATTTTATCATGCTTCCTAACATTGATATTGATTGGCTACAAACAAACTGCTACTTCACGATAGTTTTCAGACGGTTTACTGGTAATGATTTCTTCACAACGTTTCCATGCAAAAATTTATGTAATCTAGAGATTCTGACTTTACAACATTATGAAGGGCAAACAGGATCCAAGACACGGGGATTTCATTAAGGGCCAGGGGCCCGTTTCTCGAAAGTCCCGGAAACTTTTCGGGCCCGGAAAGCTGTAGCAAAATCTCTARRCTTACTATTACAGAGCTGTTTTGTTTACATATTCTTAATATGAACAGAGGTTCCCTTCATACAAGAAGTTTCAGGCGTATAAACTTCTCTGTTTTTAGATACAGATGAACTAAAAATGGCTTTACGGGCCCGAAAAGTTTCCGGGGCTTTCGAGAAACGGGCCCCAGGTACTGGGCAAATTGACCAGCTGTAAAACAGCATTTGCACATCTGCTTCATCGATATTTATGTGGTATTGTTCTTGCCTTTTTTACAAGACTGTCTAACAGTCTTCTAAAATGTTGAACTTATTTTAAGTAAAAAAAAAAAACCTAATTTTATATCGGATTTTCTGCTTGGATGTCAAAATCTGATGCCCTCCTGATAAAAATCTTGTTGAAACCCCTGTAAGATGCCTTACCTGTTGACAACACGTGGTTGGGTTATCATCACATCTGCTTTCCACCTCTACATAGAGTGTTATCATCAGTACAGCTATTGACGCCAGCCTTAACAGGACAGTCCTACGAAACAAATAGTACATAGAAGAATTTAAATCATCTCATCCATTGAAATTCATCCTGCTCCAGACATGCTCTGACACCTATAAGAATACTTTCTAGTCAAGAACCACCATTGACTGGAACAGTCTTCCGTCTGATAACCTTATTCTCACTAAATTTCGCAAGTACTAAATTTCACGATTTTCGCGATTTGAAAACATCGCAAAAATTAATACTTGCAGAATATATGACACACGAAGATTAAAATTGCAAAATTTAATACCTTTATAATATCAATTAATAATGAAATTCAAGCTGTTGAACTGTTTTTAAATTATTACAGGTATTCCAACATGTCTCAGCTTCATGTTTAGGAGTTTTTTTGTCTGATTTTGTCCATCAGTTAACTTCCACTGCACCATTCTCACTGTCAGAACTGTCCTCTGCTGCTAAGTTCTTCAAAATCTCGCTTGTGCAGCCATCAAACAGAACATGATAAGAACAAAGTTTATCAGAGTGTAAATATAGAGGTACCTATTGGGGAATACAGTACCTTACATTGTATGCTTTGTTATGTTCGCTATTGTTCACGATGAATGATTAATTAATTAATAGAACAAAAATTGCAAAATTTAATACACTCCAATTCTGGACTGGAAACTGGAAAATTTACCAAAATAATGGTAAGGAAATTTCCATGTTTCTGTTCCAAACAGAAAAAGAGGACTACCTCTAGAGGTAGTCTACAATTTCCAAATGGATTTTCCGGAAAATTACTGTTCCATTTGACTTTCAACCAAAATTCCCAGAATTTTTTTGCTTAATGGCAAGCACCCGAATACTTCTGCTGGCAATCAAATCTAAAAACTTAGGGGCCAGCTGGCTCCAAGGTATTTTCCTGAAAGTCAAACCCTGTAAGAAACATTTTTAGCTATTTTTGATTTCACATTTTCTTAGTATGTGAAAAATCTGTCTAAAAGATTCTAATTTTACTTTGCATGAATGTTAAATCAGAGCCAATTTCTTATTCCTGAAATTTTGAGGTGGGAGTCGTATGGGTAAATTTTGAGAAAACATGATTTAACCTACTAGTACCCATTCTCTCCATAGGTACTTGGTCATTCATTTTGGCCATTTGTCGAAATTTAATTGTTCAAGTTTCAAAAGAGATGGGCTGTTATAATCCATCAAAGCTGTAGTAAGCCACCTTAATTTTCAACTATCAACTCCCAGTGAAAAATAAGAACAGAATCATCCTGCACCTACCTAAACAAGTTAATATTCACATCAAACCGTGGACTCCAGTCTTCAAAGTTAGATAACACATTGAAAAGCAATGGCAAAATAAAGTTCAGGAAGGTGATTGTCAGTGATGGTGAGAAACTTAACACTGTCTTCAGAAAGCTACTTATTTCAGCTGCTTGCGTCTGATATTTCTAAATGAAAACACAGATCAAGAAGAAACACAATTAATTAAGACTATGTAGAACCTGGTCTGAAGCTAAAAATCTGACAGTTTACATGTATTTCCACTTCAAGCTGGAAACAAATGCAATTTCGCTTTAAAAAGACACCTTTGGACAAAATCAGCCCTTTAAGGTCTACAGTAACCTTATATTCCCCTCTGTGGGGGGAGTATGGATATTTTCAGGAACTGCACAATGTTAATGTCCTCTTAAGACATCTTAATTTAGGAAACAGAAATCTCGCAAACAACAGGGGAACTGACTACCAACCAGAAACTTTGAAACCCAGCATATAAACCAGCATTTAAAATTTTATTCAAACTTTGAAACCTACATACGTATTTTCTCGATTAAACGTCTCAAGGACTTCATGTTCGACATGTATAATAAGCTTCAGGTATAATAATAAAATATTTAGCTCTCACAAATAATGAATAAAACTCTAACAAACTCCAGGGTCAAATGAGCTACAAAAGTCAAATATGTTTTCTTTTTTTATGAAAAATAAATGCCAGATCAACAATGACAAGGTTGAAATAAACGCATTTAATCAATAAAATACAGTACGTGGAGAATACTGTTCAAGACATATTAATTATATTACATTAGAGAACAGTCCTAAGAAAATATGCACGCTGATTGGTTGAAAATCGTTTTTCTATAACTCGATAGACACACAGAACTAGCACGGGCTGTTGACATAATGATGGCGCGAGCAAAGAGAATTTACATTTTTATGATCAAAGTAAACAAGATGTTTTTCTTTTTTTCGTCGCGGTGTTTTCTAAAAGAAATAGAAAACATGTTCTCCATGTTTCTATTGAGTTGTAGAAACACAAGTGAAAGTTTGGGAGAACTCGAAAAAGCTGTGGAAACACTCACCTACGGCTCATGTTCCCACAGCATTTCTCGTTCTCCCAAACTTCCATTCGTGTTTCTATAACTCAATAGAAACACAGTACATCTTTTCTACTTCTTAAATAAACTACAGTATAGAGAAAGTACTTACAGGGTCTGTAGAAAGTTCAACAGTAACAACGATAGCATACACGCCTGCTCCCAGTAGTCCTGTCACCAGCAGAGTGATTAAACCTCGCACAGTGTAAAGCCGACATTTTTGGCCTGTTGTTCGATTTTGCACTCTAAGCAGTCGCTCCTCTTCAGCCAATTCTGCCTACAGAACACAAAGGCATATGATAAAATAAATTTAATGCCTAACAATTCGCTGCTAATCAGGTCAGTGCACAGACAAAGGTACTATCATACAGTAACTGACTGTCTTCTATAATCCAGAAATCACTCGCAAGGGTTTCATTAGGGGCCATCTAGTGGAAAGTTTTGGTTATAAAGAAGTTCAGTTCAAATAGTTTTATCTGCCTATGAAAACCAGTTGCCCTCCTGTTTAAAAATTTAATGAAACCCCTGCCTTGTTTAGCACTTTTCAAACAATCCAGGATTTTTATTCACTAATTAAATGAGTTTAGCCATTATTCGGCCAGGTTGTTCAAAGCATGGTTAAGCTAACCCAGGATTAGCAAGAATTTTAATTTCAGTTTTGAAACTTTTCGGTAAGTTTGTCAGTTTATGTTACAAGTATGTCCTTCTGTTTTGAGTTAAAATAATCTCAAACTGCACAAAACGTAAGTACTGAAAAACATTTTTATAGAGTGAAGCAAAATTACAGTAATACTTCCGTCAGGTTTTAATCCTGGGTTAGTATTAACTGGCATTCAAACAACCAGGCCCGGGTTTCTTTTTGCAGAGTTATGTCATTACATAACCATTGAATGCTTTTGCACCTCACAGCCCATCTTGTGCAACATTTACCATTCTTATCAAATACTCTTTGAATCAGCAGAATTATTTCTCCTTGATCTTGCAGGACCCCTCTGATAAAAGTCTTGAATACACTGATGGGTCATTTATATATCTGTTGTTATTACATGCATAATAAGAACCAAGTTCGAACCTAACACTGGCAGTTACATTGAACTACAACATCAGGCCTGACAGAAGAGAAGGCTTCTTTCATACTTTGAGCTGTTACTACAGTAACAAGCACCATCTACCAAATACACTGCTCGTGATCAGTATACTGGCAACACTTGCAAGAAAGCACATACCTTGACAGTTTGTACAATATTCTGACTTCTAACTTTGGCTGTGTTTTCATCACATATGCAGTAATCCCATGAGGCAAACACCTTGTTGCAAAAGGATGCAGATGTTCCACCACTTTCGATGTAACTTTGTTGGAAATTCTTTGCTAAACTAGAGAAAAACAAGAGCAACCATAAAGTCAAACCATACACAAGTTCATACTATGCTATGAGACAACTGACACAATTTTGAACAAAGTTCCATTTTTCACTGTCTCCAAACATAATTTGCAACAGAAATTACATACAAACTGGCCCTTGGAAGTAGCAAGATGCAAAGTAACACTCAAAGCAGTTCAAGTTTGTATGACCCATAATGGTTTGCAACAAGCTACCCTACATGACATGTACTTTTACTGTAACATAGGGGTTGGCAGTATTGCGATATTCTTGCAATACTTCAGAATTGTAATCCTGAATTGCAGTATTCTTCAAATCTGCAAGATGTAGTTTTTCAACATTTTGGATGGTATAAAATATTATCCTCCAATTCCTCCAACATTCCAACATCACCTTTTTCATGGAAACTTTGGACATTTTTGCACCATTGTTGGAAACCTTCCAAGATTTTTGGATTTTTGGATACGTTCTGGTCATCTTGGGAAATCCTGGCTTTCCCAGAAAGAAAATGTCTCACTTTTGATGCAGACAAAATAAACTCCATAATTATGCATATTTTGTGCATGTGTTGATTTTGCTGGGGGAGGGGGCTGCATGTAATTCTCATTTTACATTCCGAGTAAACTCTTTTCTAACCAAGATGAAAAGGACATGCATTACATGTACTTACTTGCTGACCATGAGAAGAAGACTACAAAAGAAATACGAGCCCCCAACAAGAAGGTAAGCTAATGGAAGGTCATATTTCACATCTTCTTCTGATATTAATGGAGTGGCAGGGTATCCAGCATAAAACATGAGGGTTGTATTAATCCAGCCCTGAAATTCAACAATCACATCTAAATCAGGAATCTGAGCACACAAGATTCAATGATTAGGACAGTCTGTCAGTAGAGTCCTCAAACACTACACCTTGCCTGGCCTACTCAATCCACAACTAAACCATGGGAAGGCACAAAGTTGAACTACTACAAAGAACTAATCTCCAAGTGAATAACACACAAGGTTCGTAATCGTTTGAGCTGTCAAAATTCCATGATTTTCCATGATCTTTTCCACGACCTTTCCGAGTTTTCCATGACCTATGTTAAGCAGTTGTTCTCAAAGTATTGTCAAAACAATCTATTATTTAAGGTATTTTCCCACATCATGATGCATAGAATGTGTGGTAGTGTTTATTTTTTACTGGAATTAAAAACGGTTTTCTGTTATTTTTTCAACTTTTGGTCTTTTTGCACTTTTATTCTCTGAAAGTATATTTGCTTTTCCATGACTTTCCAGGCCTGGAAAATGACATTATGAAATTCCATTATGAAATTCCATGACTTTCCAGGTTTTCCATGACCCGTACAGTGATCTGGACTCACTCTAGATAATTACCATTGAACCTCTTTCCAGAGCCCACATGAAGCAGAATCAACTGGCCACTGTAGAGAGTGACTACTGAAGGGAGCTTTTGATTAGAGTTAAAAGTATGGATCGATGGGGTTGGGATGCAATATCCTAGTCATTGCGGAAGTGGCCAGTTTAGAGGTTTGAACATTAGTGGAGGTTGGCAGAGCTTTCTCTGAGGACTGTAACCTGTGACACCGTACAGTTCAGCATGCTCAATGGACCCTTGATGTTATGAGTGAACCTGCCAGTTGTTGAATATAGATGTAATTCACCCTTGCCCTGGTCCTCATCCTCGTTATGGGTGGGAAGATCAGGCCAACAGGCAACTCAAAACTAAATGACAGCCCTAGGTTTGGTTAGAGTAAACAGGCAAAAAGTCAGAACAGTTCTCAGTCAGGACTCCAGCAACTCTAACATTGTATATATGCTTCTCAAACACACCCCATCCCCCTTCACCCACCCCTCTCCCCAACCCTTAATAAAGTAGGGATCAACTCCAAAAGATCATATACACATTCCTTACTCACCTGCCCTGTGACAAAGTCTATAACTTGGTCTGCAGTAGATCTTGACTCAATTCGAAATTCATCAAAATTGCAGGAGTTTGTGTTGGCTTGCGAGGTGATGTTTGCCTCGATGATAATTGACGGCAACGAAATCAATGCAAACTCCAGGGTAAAGATCACCACATTCAAAAAGAGTAACCACTTTAGGAAAATAAAGAATGATAACACTCCATTTCCAAAATGACCTGCAAAAGGGATAAAACATCAGTGATGTGTACACCATATTGCCATACTTAAATTCATACCTGCATTACATGCAGCTCCAAGGACATTTATCTAGAGTAAGAAATTACTTCATTCAGTATAATTATAAGGGTTTAATAACATCTTCACAGATCTGATTCTGGCTAAATGGAAATCAGTCTAGTAAAAAAAAAAAACAACAACAACTAACCAGGGGTTTCATTAATGTTTTCAGCAGCAGGGCAACTAGTTTTAGCAGGTGGGCCAAACCTTTTTGAACTGAACTTCTTCATAAAAAAAGCTTTCCTCCAGATGGTCAAACCAGCCAGGCAAAATTATTGTATCCACAGCCAGTCAATTTGCCCAATGCCCAGCCCTTAATGAAACCCATGAACTAGCAAGGGAAGTGCAGTTAAGTAATAGTTTGTATATTCCATTAGTACTGTTACTGGCTGTCTACAAACCAACTGAACTGCTTTTTGTTTTACCTTCCACTTCTTTTAAATGTCCTTTCCACAGCTCAAGATCTTGACTCCATTCAGATATTGATGATGTGGTTAGCTTCCAGTACTTTTGGACAAGGGACAGTGACATAATCAGAAAAAGCTTATTTAGTTAAATTATTTTATTCGTTTCACTCGTTTTTTGCATTCCCTGAAGGTGATCAGTTTCTCACTCATTTGTAAAAGAGTTAGATACTGTCAATCCTTGAATTAGCGTCCCCCTTGAATAAGCACCCCTCTTATCAGGTACAATTTTTTCTTACTAAGTGTCTCTCAGGACACCAATAAGCTGCACAACCTCCCCTCCTGGTCGATGATCAGTTCACATTACTGATTAGTTACAAAACTGAAAACAAAATTCTCGCTAATCCTGAGTTAGCTTAATCGGGCTTTGAGCAACCCAGCCCTGGTTGTAAAGTAATGGGGAGGCAGAGAGAGGCGGGAGGCTTAATAAATTGGTAAAAAGAGGGGATGATATAAGGCGAGATTGCTATCATCATTTTGTCAGCGAATGGGACTTTGGGCGCGATGCCCAACGAGTTTGCCAAACAGAAAGGTCTCTGATGAGTCCCTTAGCCGGGACGAAACGAGCTGCGTAAGACTAGCCATGAACAGTGTATTATCACAAGTAACTGTCAACTTGTTAGAGAAGGGGGGGGGGTTAATAGAGGATTAAGCCAAAATTACTTAGGATGAGGTTTGGAAAGACTTAACAAGACTGCATGTACAGTATGTTACTAACCATAGCAATCCTTAACTTGAAAGCTGTCCACCTGGAGATATGTTTCTGCCTCTGAATATTTCTAATTGATCTCCTAGAAACAAAAAACATGTCTGTTGTTAAAAAATAAACAATTTACAAATGGGGGAACACTTTAAGTATTAAACAGTTTAAGTTTGTAAACAGTGAGTAGTCTATAGCAAGGCACACTTGTTAACAAACTAGCAGCTGCTTGTTTACCTTTTCATGTCAGTGAAGAATGATTTAGTTAAAGTTTTGGATGACTAGTAGTTTTATACTAAAATGATTACAGATTATTCGCTCTCGATTTCTACCGTAATAGTTGAGTCAGGCTGCACACTCATCAACTTTCACACGAGGGAAATCTTGGCTCATAACCTAATTGTTGAATATAAAATGATGAGAGAACCAATCAGATAAGCAGATTTCCACAAGAACACAATCAGATTGCAGCGTTTGCATTCTCAATAGAAACATGGAGTAAATGGTAAAATGATCTTTCTTTAGAATTAAACAATGTGAGAAAACAAATTTATTTTAGGTTTTGATTCATTTATTTTAATTCATTTCATTAATTTACATTTATTTAGGTTTTAACATAATTTGTATTGATCACCAAAAAGCCCCTCAGAGGAGTGTTCAATTAAGTCTCGTCTCCAGTTAATTTTGATACTTTGAGGATGTGGGGTATACGCCCCCACAGCCCTCTAGAGGCTTGTGTTTATGTCGCTTGCAAGCTGTGTTTGCCTTGTCTGTGTTTGAAGTCTGGTTACAGCCTTGAGTAAACAACTAACTACCATTTTGACTCAAAGCAGGGGCTGGTGTGATGTGTACCTAACTTGATCGTGCATATATGGACAAGAACAGCAAGGACATGCCGGCAGTACAAAAAAAGAAAATTCAATTTAAGATAGAATTATGAAAGGGTTATAAAACTTACAAACCAATATTTGCTAGGTGTAAGTTCAATATTTATAAGCTAAAGTTAGACACAGTTCAAATATGGCGGATTATACAACATCAATTTGTTATCCTGATGACGAAGGGGTTCACCTCTCCGAACTTTTAGTAGTTAATTTAAGAAATTAAACTCTTTCCTCAAGACTTTTAGGTATTTAATATTGTAAATTTGCTTTTGTCAACCGTAAACGCGTTGAAAACGACACGTTTCTTACGGTATGAGATAATCCACACGAATTAAGGCATATCATAAGCGCAACACAAATGCAAGTTGATGTACGTTACTTTAATCCGCAAATCGATTGCAACTTCTGTCACACGGAACACAAAACGGAAATAAATTTAGCTTCAAGTACCTTTACAGTCGTAACACAAACCTAAAGATAGGTTTTAAATACAGCTGTAAGTTCTTACTTGGAGTATTCATTTCCGAAAAATCATAAACCGAAACGGTAATCTAACCTACGTGATAAACGGAACTTGAATGATCCCGTAATCATGATGTTGAGACTACAGCTGCTGCTCGCTCTTTGCGGAAAATACAAAACCAACCAAAAGCCTTTTGAGTTCTAAAGAAACTGAACTTATAAGCTTACTTGTATCGCCTTTTTGCCGACATGGGTTGTGTAAGCTCTTTCGGGCTTGCCAGATCATCTTCAACTTCATCTGTGAAATCCTCGACATTTATAACCTCTACATCATGTGTTGGTCTCATTGAGCCTCTCCTTGCAGAGCTTCTTCTCCTGGTGCTTGTGTTGTGCATGGATCTCTGAGCGCTGCGGCTCGGAAGCTCTCGAAACCCTCTGCTGATTGACCTGGCGGTCGCAGAATCGTCCTCCAAATCGCCATACAGAACTGCAACGAAAATTCGCGGTTGTCGTTGAAAAAAAATGCAGTTTTGCGAGGCTAGCTAAATATAAACACCTCGTGATCGTTCACAAGACGATGCGATAAAAGAGACAACCAAAACAGAAAATCTCTCAGGAGCGTTACTCACACTCGGTCGGTGCATCGGGGGCGATGTTATGCAGTTCCACAGACTGCGACATATTGCGACCTGGTGATACTCGACCGTTCATATCCAAAGAGTAAGAACACTAAAGTTCATGTAGTACTCGTAACATTGCTGAATCTAAAGTTATCTTGCCAAAATGGTGGCAAAATCATAAACATTACGCGCTCATTACTCGAACTTCCTGAAACGTGATGAGCAGTACTCAGTGTGAGCGTGTGCTAAATAAAACGCGACATCTGATTGGTCTTACGATGGCGAATTTTCAATGAGCGACGACGATTGGTAAAGTAGTTGCTACGTAAACGACACCCTCTGACTTCATGGTCACGGGCAAAAACAAAACGTTACTCTTGAAAGATTTCAAAATACCATTTGCTTACGCTTAAGCATAGTATTTCGCTCTGATTCACTAAGGGACCTAAAAAATCAGTTATTCCTATACTGTGCGATAACTAAGTAGAATGGAAACCAAGCTATCGCTTCACGTGAAAACATACGCCATATTTACTTTTGTCCACTTTGACCCCGGCGATTGAGAAGCAATCCCGGGGAAGCAATATTATCAGAGAGACTTTAACCCTCTCTTTGTAATGTCATTTCCACTTTTAGAAACACAAGTGGGTTGTTTGCCCTCAATCGGGCTAAAATACAGTGCCAAAAATCTTTCAATAGCAACCAATATTTTGAAAAACAAACTGATAAGAGACGATGTACATTGCATCCAGTCATCGGTGAAATTCAGTCTTGAATATTGCGTTTTTCCGGAAACCTGAACTAGTAAAGAAGAGTTTTGTAATTACATCAATACTCGTGTAATTGACTGCATTCGGAAATCAATTTTTTTTTTTTTTTTTTTTTGAGAAAAATAGTACAAGAATGCCTAGGATGTGTCACGGTGGATTCTTCAGGTTTATATGGAGTTTCTTTATTCTGTAATATTTTACTGTACCTCACTGTACTGTAGGAAATGAGACTTTTCTTCCTGATGAAAATAGTATGTATTGTAGGCTTATTGTACAAGTGATGAGATCACTTGAAAACGACAGACGATGATATTTAAGTCAGCTTAATTGTATCAGGTAGACTTTTGTTGCGATCCAGGAAAAATAGACGTGATGTTGGTTGTCAGTTAACTGTTGCCACATTCTTTACTTGGTGTGCCTGTGGCATAAAGTCAAATGTCGATGACTAACACCTTAGTCTTGATATTCTCAAGAATGATCATTTTAATATTCATTATTACGAAGACGCTTAACGAGATGGAAGAAATCGTCAGCTACTA